ATGGAGTGCGTACAACCTCGTTCAAATCCGGGCAAGCGGCGAGTGGAAGACGGCGTTCATAACCTGATATTCGTAGTGGCCAGAAGGGGTTATGCCGTATGGCCTGGCTAACTCACCGTCTGTCTTCCAGGGGTTCATGAACGAGGTGTTCCAGGAGTTCCTCCACCGATTTGTCATCATGTACATCGACGATATTCTGATATACTCTTGGAACCTGGCTGAACATCGCCACCACGTCACACAGGTCCTCCAGCAGCTCCGGAAACACCACCTCTACTTGAAGCTCGAGAAATGTGCATTCCACCGCCCCACGGTACAGTTCCTCGGTTACATCATCAGTGCCGATGATATTCAGATGGACCAAGGGAATGTCCAGGCCATCTGTGACTGGCCCCAGCCACAGTCTGTCAGGGAACTCCAGTGATTCCTCGGATTTGCCAACTTTTACCGCATTTCAGTCTCCTCTCAGCCCCTCTCACTTCCATGCTCCGTCGATTACCCAAGTCCCTAGCCTTGAGGGTTTAGTGTCCCTATCCCCCGAAGCTTAGGCCGCCTTCAAGAAGCTCAAGGAGGCCTTCTGCACTGCTCCCATCCTCACTCACCCAGATCCCCAACTCCCGTTCCTGGTGGAAATGGATGCCTCTACCACCGGTGTGGGAGCAGTGCTGTCACAGTACCACGGAGAGCCATCCTACCTCCATCCTTGCGCCTACTACTCTAGGAAGCTTTCCCCGGCAGAGCAAAATTATGACATCGGAAACCGGGAACTGCTTGGCTTTAGAGGAGTGGTGCCACTGGCTGGAGTGAGCGCAACACCCCTTTACTGTGATTACGGACCATAAGAACCTCGAGTATCTCCGCAGTGGCAAGAGGCTAAACCCCCACCAGGCCCGCTGGGCGTTGTTCTTCACCCGTTTCCAGTTCAAGATCACCTACCGTCCTGGAGATAAGAACCTCAAAGCTGACTCCCTGTCTCGTATCCACTCTCCCGACAAACCCACCGCACCAGAGCCGATCCTCCCTCCAGCCATCCTTGTCAGTCCTATCCAGTGGACTCTGGAAGAGCAGATCCGTGTCGCCACCCTCTCCGAACCTGCTCCGCTGGGAGGCCCAGAAGGGAAAACCTATATTCCATCCTCCCTGCGGCCAACCCTTCAGGGGCTCACTGCATGCTTCCCCGGGCTCTGGACATCCAGGCAGCCAGTGTACTCTCTCACTCCTACAAGCTCGGTACTGGTGGCCCAGTATGGCCTGGGATGTGTCCCAGAATGTCCGCCGCTACTCAGTCTGTGCCATCTCCAAGACTCCACATCACCTCCCCACTGGTAAACTGATTCCTTTGCCCATCCCACGTCGTCCATGTTCCCACGTCGGAGTCGACTTCGTGACCGATCTCCCTAACTCCGAAGGGTTTACATGCATTCTTGTTGCAGTCGATCGGTTCTCAAAAGCCTGCAGATTGATTCCCCTCAAAGGCCTCCTCACGGCCATGGAGACAGCCGAAGCCCTGTTCCAGCACGTCTTCCGCAACTTTGGCATCCCTGAGGATATCGTCTCCGACTGTGGGCCACAATTAATTTTTCAATTCAGTAAGCCTTTCCTCCGCATATCACCCCCAGATCAACGGCCAGACTGAGCGGAAGATACAGGAGATTGGGAGGGACCTCCGGACATACTGCCATTCCAACCAACACCGCTGGACCCGTTTCCTCCCGTGGGCCGAGTATGCGCAGAACTCCCTGAAACAGACCACCACAGGCCTCACCCCGTTCCAGTGCATACTCGGTTTCCAACCCCCTCTGTTTCCTTGGACAGAAGAGCCATCCGACGTTCCAGCTGTGGACCACTGGTTCCGAACGAGCGAGAGAGTTTGGGACTCAGCCCACCTCCATCTCCAGCAGGCAGTGTGGAGACATAAGGCCTTCGCAGATGCCCTCCGGTCCAACGCCTGCCTATCGCCTAGGAGATAAGGTTTGGCTCTCGACCCAGGATCTGCGTCTCCGCCTGCCCTGCAGGAAGCTGAGTCCCCACTACATAGGTCCATTTACCATCCTGAGGCAGATAAATGAGGTCACCTTCCATCTCCAACTCCCAGCCAAGTATCGTATCCACCCAGTATTCCATGTCCCACTCCTCAAACACGTGTTTCCCTCTGCCCTAGGTCCCAATGAACCCACAATGCCTCCTCCTCCTGAAGTCATGGCAGAACCCTCTATCTACTGCGTCCGGAACATCTTGGACTCCCGGCGGCGGGGCGGTCATCTGGAGTACCTCATTGATTGGGAAGGATACGGGCCAGAGGAAAAATTGTGGGTCGCCCAGGATGATGTTCTGGTCTGGATCTGCAGTCGGGCGTCAGGAGCCGCCCCTGGAGGAGGTAGTACTGTCAGGGAGTCACAGTCACCGTTAACCACGCACACCAGATCCCAATCACCGCCAACCACGCTCACCAGATCCCAGTCCCCTGATTATTGATCACCACCATCTGTCTCCACTCATCAAGAGCACTATATCCTTGCACTCTTCCCGCACTGTCATTGTCTGGTCTTAAACAATGCATGTTGACTACCTGACTCTCACCTGTGATACCTCTCTGCCTCTAGATCCAGCGTGCTGTTCCCCATTCTCCTCCGCTCCTGTGCTCCATCGTCTTCGTGCTCCTCCGTTCCCCCGAGACCCCCTTGAAAGATAAAAGGAACTCTCTTCCTCAGATAAGACGCATTAACCCTTGCAATTCCCCGCTTACTCACCTGGACCCGTTGCTCTGCTCTCTTCTACCTGCCAGTTGTAAATAAACCTGCCTTCATCCACTTTTTACAGAAACCTGGATCCAGCTCATAACGCTTAAAATATAATGTGCATATACAATAGTAAAATTCATTTATATGTTTTGACTGAACAGTTGTTGCATGTGCATCATGTAAAAATGTATTTTATATAACTAGTCCCACTAGTTGCGTTTGCATTTTCCAGAATTTTTTCCGTTTTATTTATTAAATAAACGTAAGTTTTGCCAAATTTGCCCCCTCATGTTTTGGTTATTCGAAAACTGCTGAAACCGGTTCTTGAATCGAGATCCGCTGTAGCAGTATGTGCAAGTCTGCTGAGCCGAGAACTGCTGCAACTTGAATATACAGTCGACAAAACTAAAAAGCTGAAGCATTTTTCCAACATGTTTAATAGGTTTCTACTGATTGACACATACACATTTACTTTGCACCCATAAAACCTTGGCAAACGTTTGTCAAGATTTATATCAAATTTAGAAATAAAATAAGCTGTTCCTGAAAATATCATGCATTATTGATGAAACAAATGTTTAGTTTGACAGTTGTACGATCCTTTCATTGTTTTCTATCTTTTTAAAAAAGCTGTTAAAAATGTTTCCAACATGTTTTATTTTGTTACACTTTCTGATACTCAACAAAACACTTAAGGAAAATGCTTTTTATCCCTCTGAGTAAATTACAGGCATGCTCAGCTCATCGGTCCTCAGTATCGAACGTGTCTGAAAGAAACAGTTCTCGCTTCAGTGTACTGGTGATTTGAGTAAATAACTTTAGAAAATTGTGCTGACTCGAGACGTGAACTGTTTTGAACGATTCAGTCCGATTTGGTGAACTGGTTCGACCATTCTGCATTCTTCTTGTTAAATCTCCCACTCCCATCCGGAGCATATGTAAAACCGGCTGATCCCGATTTGTGTTGGGACCTGCGGGATCCCAATCCAGTGCTCTACTGTGGGTTTTTATAAGGGCTTTCAGGGCTCCAGACTGCGACCATTTTTTCTGCCTGTGCGACTAAATTTTGTGAGCGGTCGCACTGGCACGATCACCGCGTTGTTTAACTCATAAGCGCTGCCATTTCTGTTGCATATGTGAAACATCAAACGGCAAACGAAACCGAAAGCATAACGAAACCGCGCTACTCGTTTGAACTGCACAGCACTTCCGGCAGGAGCACGAAAGCTGCGCGCAGCAAAAATGACGCGATTATTGAGGAAACGATGGATGGTTTTCATGCTAAAGTAAAGTAAAAGACCGCTTCTTAAACCAAAGGTGAAAATGTTGGTATTCTTGTGAGGAAAAAAACATGCAAGCACTGTCACCGACAGCAAGTTTAGTTTTACTTATCTTTTTGTTTTCATTTGCGTTATCTTTGCTGTTTACCTCACGTTATGCTATGGAGGCTCTCTTTTATTTTTTTATTTTTTTATTTGATTCCTCAGTGTTTGCTAAACGCTCTGTAATTTATTAGTTGGTATATAATACAGCATGTGGTGTATGCCATGCCTCGTCTTTTTCGTTTTTGTTCATAAACGTTTTGTAAGCTAGTTTGTCCTTACTGTTTTATTGTTGTTGTGCTTTTTAATTAAGAATAGCAATAAATCCATCTTTTGTTTTAATTTTAAAAAGAGAAAGGTATAGATGTAAGCAAAACAGACAATTGTCTTTTCTTGTAAATCGTGACAACAATATCGCAAATTAAAAAGCGATAGCATCCGAAGCCTGCGGCTTATAACATAGCAAACGAGGATCTCCCGTTCACAAAATTCAAATCACAAATAATACTACTAATGAAAAAGAACAGGTTGAATGTTAACCTTTTTCGTTTCCATATAACTATAAACTATGATAAAAGTTCATCAGCATGCATTGATTAATTCCATGTTGTAGCAAAAAAAAACAAAAAAAACAATTGCGACCAAATCATGTGCTTGTGCGACCAACTGAAAAAGTTAGTCACAAAAGAGCCACCAGTGGAAAGAATGAGTCTGGAGCCCTGGCTTCGATAACTGCCAGCTTGAAAGAATTTGGGATGTGTCCTAAAGAATGCAAAGAATTAACAATATTGACGAGGTTCTGAGATTCATTTTTATTTGTTTATTGGGTATAGAATCTAGAACATGCGGTTGGATTTGATGTTTTACTGTCTAAAGGCTTTAATGTCTTTGTGCCGTTAAATTGGTGTTCTCTTGTTTTTGTTTCCTTTCACCTTAGACCTGATGCCGCTGAAAGAGGAGAGTCAAGACTTTAATGAAATGGAAGAGAAAAATCAGTATGAGAAATGTCATGATTTTATGGCCAGGGAAAAATCTTTTACTTACTCACCGACTCAAAAAACAGAAACTAGATACCTTGAATTCCAGATGAGAGTTCACACTGGAGAGAAGCCTTATGCCTGCCAGCAGTGTGGAAAGAGATTTATTCGAAAAGACTACCTTAAAGTCCACATGAAAATTCACAGTGGAAAGAAGCCTTTCACTTGCAAACAGTGTTTGAAGAGTTTCTCACTAAAAGGAAATCTTAACATTCACATGAGAATCCATGCTGGAGAGAAGCCATTCGTGTGCTCACAGTGTGGAAAGAGTTTTAAACAGAAAAAGTACCTTAATGCCCACGTGACAATTCACACTGGAGAAAAGCCTTACACCTGCAAACTGTGTGGGAAGAGCTACAAAAGAAATGAAAATCTTAAAATTCACATGCGAATTCACACTGGAGAGAAGCCTTACACCTGCAAACTGTGTGGGAAGAGCTTTACAAAATAAAGGAAACCTTAAGATTCATATGAGAGTTCACACTGGAGAGAAACCTTACAAGTGTATTCAGTGTGACATCAGTTTCACATATCACACAAACCTGAAACGGCATTTGCAAACTCATTCTGGAAAGAAAATCCAAACCTCATGTCACACTGAGGAAAATGGCAATTTCAACAATCATCTGCGCATTCACTCTGAAGAAAGACAGTTCAGTTGTGATCTGTCTAATTAAAACATTACATTAACACATTCATATGAAAATTCATGTAAATGTGAGAACCTGATTGTGTTCTTTGTTAATTCCTATTCGGACAGAATTAGTTTTACATGGAGAGGTGGGATAAAGTAAGTGTTACCTGTCTGAATGTGCCATCTCCGTAATCATGATGGGCAATGTCAGTAAGATTATGGGTGACATTCTCTAAAAAGATCCAGAAGAATTACCTCAGGTAAAACTAATCCCATGCGAATATACCAGCTGTAAATATGTAAGTAAATATTTCATCTTTTACTGTTTAAAAGTAGCTTTTTTTGTGGTTTTTACAAGTATGGAGCCACTTGAAGAAGCATTCAGTTGCATTCCAGGCAGTGGGACAAGTCTGTGGCAAACCTCAAGGGTTTTCAGCATATCATTCAGATCAAAAAGAAGGTCAAAAGCACTTGTTAGAGGCACAAAACTTCTTTTAGCTTTAGGTAAGTGCCTAATCCCATCTGAATAGGGCTTTACAGAATTCCTTTACAACAGAGTTCCCTTACAAAAAAAAGAAGTTTATTTAAAGGGTTAGTTCACCCAAAAATGAAAATTAGCCCATAAATTAAAAGCAAAGGAAGCAAAGTTTCCTTACTTTAGCAAAAGAAAACCAGTTTCCTCTTGGCTTATATCGAAATCCTCCGACATTCTTCTTTACAAATCCTTGTTTTGTACTTATAATAAGTGACCATTGTTTGTTTTTGATCTCTCCGCTGCGCTTCCGCGTGCGTTCTGAGCGGCGCATGCGCAACGCCTACCTCATACGTCATCAGCCCGTAACTGCTTCCGTGTACGACTGTTGGCGCAAGCTAGATTAAAGTGATTATTACGTTTTGAATATGAATATTTTTCTTACAAAAATGCATCGATTTGCTACAGGAGGCCTTTGTTCACCCCCCGGAGCCGTGTGAGATACTTTTTTTTTATGGATGGGCGCATTTTATTTAACTTCTTTTGGACTGATGCATGCAACCCCTGCTGAGTGGCATTAAACAGCTTGAAAGATCAAAGACCATTTTTAATATAACTCCGACTGGATTCATCTGAAAGAAGAAAGTCATATACACCTAGGATGCCTTGAGGGTGAGTAATTTGTGGGCTAATTTTCATTTTTGGGTGAACTAACCCTTTAAGTGTTTTATTAGTATACTTCGTTTCAACTAAAAATAGGGAAGTATACTTCTAATCTACACAGGTGAAGAAGCAGAAACAAGCGATAGAAGCATATAACATATAAATCAAAACTGCCTAATGTTACCCAATGAAATGTTGAACCCATGAAGAGGAAATGACTGTGAAGCTCTGAGGGTGTTGATGTACTCTATCTAGTCCATATATATTTTGATCATCGATCCAGATGTAGCCTTTAACAAAAGTATGACTTTTTTCCAGCTTTTTATTCAAAACGTTGCTGTTTTATGAAACTTACCCACATTCAAGTGTTGATTAAAAAAATAATGTGTAACACTATAATAAAATGTTTATTGATTTTTTAAAAGCAGAGGTTCAGTTCTTTCATTTGATATGCTGTATGTTCAGATGTTGATACAACAGAAAATTCTGGGGGCCATGAAACTTTTGTGAAAAATGATCAAAAATGCTGCCTCTGGCTGGCAACTTTTAAAAAAGAGCTGGCAGGGAAAGAGTTAGAGTACAGTGAAAGGTGTATTTCAAGTATAAAATGCCTAAAATGGAACATAGTAGTATACTTTAAGTTAATTTAAAGAAACTTTCAGCATTTACATAATAGTATGTGCACAGTTTACCCAGCATAAAATGAGAAATCAGACACTGCATCAAAAGGCAATTGGTATAAAAGGACAATGAATTCAACCTGAAACTCCAGCTTTGAATGTAACTCAAGTCCATGAATGGCAATGCAGTGTACACAAACACAAGTGAAGGATTGCTGACAAAAATGCAATTCTGATAATGGCTTTAGTACGGTGGTCGAGAGAGCTCAACGCACTGCAACTTAAGAAAACACATGGAAATAGAAAAATCACCAGCAAATTAAGAGAACATCTTCATCAGTTTGACAACATATGTGCTGCAAATACTCGCAACACAACCAAAAACAAAAATGCGCTGCAAAAACAGAAACACGCTGCAAATACTCACAACACAACCAAACAGAAACGTGCTGCAAAAACAGAAAAACACTGCAAAAATTCGCAACACAACCAAACACAGAAACGCGCTGCAAGTAGCACACTGCAGACACCCACACTGTTACAACTTGAAGATTCTGACCTCCATCCTTATCAAGAGTACATCGTAACAGATAATCATTCGGAATGATGTAAAGAGCATGATTTGCATTTTATATTAATAGATTTTGCTTCATTTCAGAATGGCTACAATGAAACATCTTCCTTCTGTCCATGTCCAGTGTTCTCCCAGCTTACTGGCAAGTTACTCTGCACTCTAAAGGCTTGTACAGTGGCTATGGTACCTCAGACTTCTTCGCCAACACTCCTAGATAGGATGTCTGGAACCAGGTGACACTGACCCTTTCTACACCTTACAGTAAAGCTCTGATGTCTAACTGCCCATCTTGTTAGTCGTGATGAAAGATTTTGGTGATTAAAATCCCAAGTAAGGGCAGAATGGTTGGTTATTATCTCAAAATGACATCCTTTCAAATATGTCCCCCACTTTTTTTAACTGCCCAAACATTCTTTTTCAGCCATAGAGTAAGCCTTCACTGCATCATGGAGAAGTCTTGCTACATAGGCTATTACACTCTCTCCTTGATCAGACTCCTGGGTTAGCACTGTCCCAAGGCCAAAGTCACGTACAGAGTCCTTTTTTTAAAGCATGCAGAGGTGTGATACATTCTGAGAAATGAGGAATAAAATGATGGTATCAACCTGCAAGGCCAAGGAACCTTTACTCATTTTTCGTTCTTGGGTACTGTAAATTCACTTATGGCCTCCACTTTTGATGTGTTAGTCTTTGCTATGCTGGACTCCTCCATCCCTACCTGCCAGTATCTGCTTCTCAAGTCCAAAGTACTAAAGATGGTAACTCCTAAGAGTGAAGGAATGATGTCACTGATTTGCGGAATAGGGAAAGCATCTAGGGGAGTTTTGGCATTCAAAGCTCGGTAGTCGATGGAGAAACGCATGCTTCTGTCTTTCTTGGGTACAAGGACTACCGGCGATGCCCTGGTGGTGATACGGTGGGTGATGAAGGAAGTAAATCCAACAAGCTCAACAACAAACCTTTAAACTGTCTTTTATGATCTGTTGAACTGACTAGATCTTTTATCATAGTTACTGAGGCTTTGGTAATTTGGACAGTATCTGTGAGGATTTTCAGTCAGGATTTAGACCGTATCATAGTACTGAGACTGCTCTCATCATCGATCATGGTTGTATTTCTCTATTAGTGCTACTGGATCTTAGCGCTGCATTTGACACTATCGACCACAACATTCTTTTGAGTAGACTACAAAATTATGTTGGCATTATTGGAATTGCATTGGCATGGTTCAAATCTTACTTATCTGGCTGTCATCAATTTGTAGCAGTGAATGACGAGGTATCATACCGATCACAAGTACAGTATGGAGTACCACAAGGCTTAGTACTAAGACCGTTGCTTTTCACGCTTTACATTTTACCATTAGGAGACATCATCAGGAAACATGGTGTTAGCTTTCACTGTTATGCTGATGATACTCGGCTCTATATTTCTTCGTGGCCTGATGAAACATACCAATTCGCAAAACTAACAGAATGCATAGTTGATATAAAAAGACTGGATGACTAGTAATTTCCTACTGCTAAATTCTGAAAAAAAAAAACGAGGTTTTAATTATTGGACCAAAAACCTCCACATGTAATAAGCTAAAACACCGTCTAACACTTGATGGCTGCTCTGTTAATTCTTCAAGATTCAAGATTTTTTATTTGTCACATACATGGTTATATAGAGCAGTGTTTCCCAACCGGGGTGCCGTCTGTCGAGAGCAGGGGTGCCGTGTAAAAAAAATAATTTTTTAAATTGCTAAAATGTTCAAAAAAGCATATATTATATAATATCCATTTCTGATGTCGCCAATAATTAGAGATGCACCGAAATTTCGGCTGCCGAAAATTAGTTCACCGCTCAGGTTTCACTTTCACGTGGTGTGACGCTCTGCGTATTATCCCGCTCTATGCGTGTGTGCTCCACTCAGTCGCTCACGGCCCATGTGACTGCTCCACTCATATACCGTTCATGCTCATCGGAACAGCAAAGTCCACTCAAAAATCAAGCTGACAGGAAACATCGATGTAGTACAGTATTGTTTCTGTCTACAATAGCCCTACTGTGTTGTAACATGGTGTGGTATATGGGCAACTCTGGTAACGCTGCCCTCTCATTCATTGATCTGCTAACCGTTATGCTCACGTGTCCTCTGATAATACGGTAATAGCTTTCTAGGATTAAACATTATTTGGATAATTGGTAAAAAAAAAAAAAAAAAA